TCTATGATAAAATATAGTTTAATGTCACTCCAAATATGACTTAAATGCAGCTAAAAAGGAAGATTGAGGCCGAAAGCAAATTGAGAAATTATTTAAATAAAGGATCTCATTTATCTTATACTTACTTCTACCACTACTCACTTATTCTTCTTCTTCTTCTTGTTCTTCTTCATGCAACACATTCTCTTTCGAATTACAGCCCCACTTCTAAACAAATGGTAATGCTGTCAGCTCTTGTAATGTGTCGTCTTTTGTTATTGAGCATCTTGGTTTCTGCACAGAAGTAGAAAGCAACTTAAAGCAGAGCTACCTGTAAACTGAGAGTCAATATTTGAGTTATACTTGTCATCAGGACTCAAAGTGAATGCTGAAGTCTCTCTGTTTCTGTTGGACTTCTAAAGAGGGAAGAAGTGTTTTAATACATTTATTTTGAAGGTGGCAATATTTCATTTTATCAACAGCTTCCACAAGTGCAATTGGAGTCAGGACTCAGAGAGAGACACGATGGAGAGCTGGAGCTTTGATGGCAAACACTGACGGTTTATTTGGAGCTTCGGCCGGAGAATTCACAAGACATGTCACGGGCCACGAGTAGACCACACGGTTGAGATGCCACAATCAATTCTGAAGACCCCTCCTGTAGCTCCAGGTTTGAACTAGTTCAGAGTTTAATAATCAACATTCTTCAATAGATAGACTAAACAGCTGAGGACAGTGGATCACATTTGTTGTCGCTTAAGGCTCGGGGTCATCTACACCCCGAGAAGGATGTGTTCCAGGTGTCCCACAACAATAACTATCTCTGACCGAGTGTTGCCCGGTCATAAACTGGTAACAACAACAACAACTTGCCAGGGTAGCCCCTCCTTAAGGGAGATAACGGCTGCTCAAGGTTGGTCAGCTGCGTCAGAGGGCGAAAGGTAAACATGTAGGGCGAAATTGTTCCCTGACAAATATGAGGACAGGTGGATTCTCTCCAGAAAAAGTTCAAATGTCTTGAAGTGTTATGGGATTATATCCTGGAGTGGACTCTCTCTAATCTGCAGGACCTTTTCTCTCCCCCCTACAGCAGTGATTGATCGTGTCCTGCTGTTATTGGGTATAGATGTTGTTGGGTATGAATGTGAAGTGATTATTGATCTGACGCCGCTGTGTTTCTGCAGATTCCCGAGCGGACCGAGCTGACAGGAGGAAACTCTTCAGACATTACACCGTCGGATCCTACGACAGCTTCGACGCTTCCAGGTAAAAACACACACAAATGCTCCATTTCTAATATTTATAAATTATATAAATGCATATTTTGAATATTTATTTATGTTCTATATCTATGAGTGAGTAATGATCCAATTATATGAATGTATATGCAAACATTCATCATATGTGTTATACATATTGTTGGGAATTGGGTAAAAAGCAATACATACGGTATGAGGGATTGTGTATGCACGTTTTATTTCTGGATTTCCTTTAAATCCCCAATAATGTCTCGGAAAATGTTGTATAAAGGGTTTATACATCCATTAACTTTGTTTTAAAAATACATGCATTAGAAGCTTTTTTAGCAGCTATAATGAAAACAATGTGTTATTCCTTACATAGCGCAACATAAATACACATTTTTCATTCAGAAGACGATGTTATATTCCCAAACAGACAACTTTGTTTGTTTTCCTCCTGTTGTATTGTATCATGTAATCACCGCGTGCCTCCCCCAGTATGGATTTTGTGTTGCGTCGAAATCCTAGAATCACTTCAAGGGAATTCCTCCAAGTTTGCACACAGGTTGAATCAACTAGAAATTGCTGATCACACAACAGGGTCACCAACAATATTTTTGACGATAGCTGAAGAATTAAATGCATATTAGGATTAGAGGATGATATGAAAACACTGTGTAAACTGTATGTGTGTGAAATTATCATAATAAGTCATTGATTTCTTACGTTATGGTCAAAAAATGGTTATATTGGCTTGTAAAAAACAATATTTTGATGGACTACATATTTTAAATTGTTATTAAGATGCTGTTCTAGTCTTAAAAATAAATCTATTTAATTATTTACTATTAATTTGAATGACTTTTAAATCATAGGTAACTCTCAAAAGTAGGTAAATGATCAGAAATGTTCGTCCAGCACTGACTTTAATAAAAAGAAATTAGCTTTATTTTACCAGGTTATTCTCTTGAGGGTTAAGAATCTGGGAAGTCTTGGCCACTATCAGATAAAAGGCAAAAACAAAACACTTATGCTTCATATTGACAGTTTTTCATCAGCTAATGGATCAGTAACACAAAATGTAAATGCATCCGATGTCTGGAGATTGACTTTGGCAGGACCTGATTAAATCAATGTTCTACAGTAGGTGTAATCATAGCAAACATGTTCTGATATATTATTCTACCAAAATGGACTGGACAGATTTACACTAAGGTGACACAATAGCCCTTTTGTCAGATTTGAATCACTATTCTAATCCATGCACACTGTTAGACAAAATGTCAGGGTCGTGTAGTAATAAATATTATAATGAAATGTGTGAGGAGATACAGGACGAAGGACAGCGTGACTTTCACCTCATTACTCTGCTGGGTTTCCTCCGACACACGCTGGAAGGTGGATTATTTTTCTCGTAAATGTCCAATATAGGTCAAGGTGAATCACTTCTTCCATTAGAGGGTGAGTTGGGCGTAGAATAAAGAAACACCCATGTGACTCTAAAGATCCTGGGGAAATTCAAACTGGAAATAAAACTTTAACCTGGATATAGACATTTATATTATTAGGTACTTGCATCAAGACCTTCCTTTGCCTTATCATCTATTTTACTTTAAATGTGAACAATATTTACTAAATGAACATCATACTGTACCGAAGAAGACTTAAAACAAGAGATTGAGACCATAAACTCATCTGGAAAATGTTTAATTAAAGGGGACCTATCATGCAAAATGCACTTGTGTACGTCTTTTATACATGAATATGTGTCCCCGGTGTTCCAGGGAACTCACCAAGTGTCAGAAAACACAACCCTCTCTATTTTCCTCCATACCCAAATGTCTAAAAAAGGGGCTGCAACGGATCTGATAAAAACTGATCCAGATTTGAACACTGTCCTGACGTCAGGACGGTGGCGCTACGGCTATTGGGCCAACTCCACCAATCAGGAGGAGACAGCCACGGCCATTGTCGTTCGAAAGCGCTGGAGACGCTGTAGTACATATGCCAGGCCAGTAGATGGTGCTGTTCTCACTGAATCTGCCCAGAGCTAGCTATATAGGTATGGTCCTACACTATATTATTCAAATATAGCATGATAGGTCCACTTTAAATAATGAATCAAATTAGAAATTAGGCCATTTTCTCCTAGACTTCTATACAATATGAATTATTTTTTTTCAACCAGTAGAGTCGCCCCCTGCTGGATGTTAAAGGGAATAAATGCACAAGTGTATCGATAGAACATAAAACAAACAATTTAATATGTATAATTGCGCAATTGTAATAATTAAACAAATGATGTTAAAATACTAATGTTAGCAAGTTTAAAACAGTCAAAGCTAAGATCAATGAGGATTGTGATGAAGTGTTTTACTCTCAATAAAGCATAATTTTCTATATATAAATCATGTTATATTGAAGAAGACAGACATTGAGAACATAAAATCATCTGGAAAATATTCACTGAGGTAATAAATCAAGGGAGAAGTAGTTTCATTGTCTTATAGACTTCTATACAATCCCAAAGCATACGTAGCTTTATTGTCTATTCTACTTTCAATAGGAACATCATTTAAAGGTGGGGTAGGTAATTTTGGAGAAACCAGCTCGAGTGCGCTAGAATTTGAAAATACACAGCCGGAGAAAATCTGCCACTTCCTTACAGAGCCCCTCCTCCAACACACACGAACGCGCACATGACCAATGAGGGCACGAGATAATTTTGTGCACAGATGTTAGGCTGACAGGCAGGTAGGCCATCCAGTTATTTTAGCCGGGCCGGCTAAAATGATTGGTCGTGCTTTTTACAGTACTACAGCTTCCACAGATGACATTTTTTATGGATTTTTTGTCAAAGCACTTAAGATATTCATTGCTATCGGGATGTTAAGAGCATTCCATGGAATATAACAAAAAGTGTATCTCGAGCCGGCTTCTCAAACTTACCTACCCCACCTTTAATAAACAAACATGATACTATATTGAAGAAGACCTAAACTAGAGATTGAGACCTTAAACTCATCAGGAAATTATTTTTACTGAAGTAATATATCCAATGAGAAGAAGGGTCATTTTCTACTCAGACGTATTTCGCGTCAAGTGGAGTTTAATGCACACTACACACATAAACGTAATACTTAGGAGCTGTTTTTTTCAGTCGCCTAAAACAATATTTCTTTGGAAAGTGACAAGTAGGCTTATTTTCTCATAGTCTTCAATACAATCTGACTAATTCTGCAACCAGATGAGTCGCCCCCTGCTGAATATTAGACAGTACCTCCACATAGGTTTCACTTTTCAGAGACTGCTTCTTGATTTAAAGCCCATCATAGAGAGTTTGGCCCTCGTCCACCATGGCGGATAATTTATTGAGCATCATTTTTCTCCTGCAGCCATCCTTCATGCAGTTTAACAGCTGGATGTCTGTCTCACCACTGTGTCCTTGAGCCAGACCTCCAAACTGCAATACAAAGTTTCACATGCACAGAAAGACTTAAAGGTCCCATGTCATGGCCATTTTTACTGATCATAATTCCATTGTTGAGGTCTACTAGAACAGATTTACATTGTTCAATGTTCCAAAATCACATCGGTTTCTCATACAGCATCTCTGTATAGTATGTGTATTCACTCTCTGTCCTAAACGGCTTGTTGGAGCTCCTGCAGATTTTGAATGCTGCGTGGGGTCTGGGTGCCGTGTTGGCGGGACGTTGCGGGGCTCGCTGCTGCGCCCTTTGAGGCTCGAGGAGCGGACAGTGTGAGCTGGATTACTGGTGTCGTTTCCTGGTTGCTGCGTGGGGTCTGCGAGACCCCGCGGAACTCAGCCTGAGCACACACACACACACACTCACAGCCAGGCGAGTGTGAGTGTGTTTGTGTGTGTGTGGAGAACCGCAGAGCCGCGGCTGAGAAAAGATAAGGCTGAGTGAGTGTGTGTGTGTGTGTGCGGAGCTCCGCGGATTGGTCCATTGGTCGGCGTTACGTCACTATACTCAGGAAGAAAAAAATGGAAAAAGAAAAATCTCCAACGAGGCGTTCTGGGGCAGCATAGAAAGGTCTTTTCTGTGTTAGAGTTTTACTCGCTACAGGGTGTACTTTGAGGGTTTGTGACTTTGCAGACAGGGGACGGGTAATAACCGGAAAAGCATGACATGGGACCTTTAAGATTCAATGGCTTTATTATCATATCCACAATAGATACAGCTGGAAATAAACAATTTAAATCACAGACTCCCCTAACAATGAAACATACTATTCAGAAGACATAGTGAAATAGAATAATGCTGAATGTCAGTTGCTGAAATAAGACAACAAATATACGTTAAAAAAGATAAACCAGAATGTAAAATGAATATAATAATTAAGCAGAATATGAATGTTTGGCGAATATAGCTTTTAAATTCATCGATGCTGTGTAGAGTAACAAAAGTTATTAAATAAATCTTTAGTTTAGTTTTTTAATACATTATGAACTTAGTCTCTAACATATAGTGGAGGAGAAGTATGAACTAGCAGAAAATATATATAATAAAGGAAAGTATGACTACAAAACATTGTCCTGTGTGTGTGTGTGTGTGTGTGTGTGTGTGTGTGCGTGTGCGTGTGCGTGTGCGTGTGCGTGTGCGTGTGAGGGAATGCTGGGAGATAACCTTCAGTGGGTGTCGGCCTCCCTTACTCTCGAGACAGATTTTTCCGTTGCTAAGGGAACTGTTGCTAGGACGGCGGTCGCACCTCTCTCTCTCTGCTAATATAAACTGGATGATGCTCCTCGGGCTGCGGCAGCTAACTCAGCCTTTAAGTTTCACATCTCCAGATTCTTCACAACGCAGGAACGTACCATCTTCTACTGCTTGTGGATTCCCTGCAGTGTGTTCTATAGGTTTTAGTGCATGTAAAGGGTCTGCAAAGGCCAAAATCCCTGTGTTCCCTCCAGAGGAAGATTCTCTCTCACACACTCCCCCCTCCCTGCATGAAACACCTCCATTGGACTCCTTTGTTTACTTCAGGAAAATTGTGACATCACTATGTAACATTGGCACTTCCATTGGCTATCTCCAACACATTGTACGTGATAGGCTAAGAGGCGGGACATCTATAAGCAGTTTTTCTAAGGACAGATGGTGTCATATTCGTATTCATGTTCTGTATAAACTGTAAAGTCCCCAAAAAACGATTTCAAATGTGTGATATTGGACTGTATAAAAAATGATTTCAAGGGACTCCATGAAACTCCTATAATAGTTTTATTTTGAACACTGTTGTTTTACAGTTGAGTGAAAACTTTTAGATCTTTAAGTGTTTTGACTATAGGAAGATTGATTAACATTTAGGTCAAATAAGGACAAAAATATAAGTCTTCTATAGTTAAAATATATAAAATAAACAATGATCCATTCTTCAAGGGACCCTTTTAAACTCCCTTAAAGATTATATATTAAAAGTTGTTGTTTCAAAAGTTAAAGCTTTACTGTTTTAACAAAGGATAACAATTTGATGGATTCTAATAAAGACACAACCCCCATTATCAGCATTATTTATCAATCACTCAATACATCAATTAACATCAATCAGTAAATTAGACAGGTTTCAAACCATATGACACCCTGCTGTTCACACACACACTCCCCCTCCATTCTGTCTCTGTCTGACACACACACACACACACACACACACACACACACACACACACACACACACACACACACCCTCCCTATCCAGTCGGTGTGTTCCGTAGCTGATTGCATTGCAGAGCACACCTTTAGACATCCATTCACACCGATCCTCCACTGCTCCCTCCCTCCATCTGGCTCTCTCTCCCTCCACCCCCCTCGGTACAACGTTGATCTCCAGCTTTCCTACCCGCCTCATCATGAGCCATAAGCGGCCACCAACAGCAGCCTGATGTCGCTTCTTCACCGGCGCCCGGAGCCTCCGCAGCGGCGGTAGCGGCGGCGCATTTTGGCGGAGAAACGCGCGTCTTTCTTCCGTCGTCTTTTTTTATTCCAAATCTTTTTTTGTGTGTCTGGAGATGCTGTTGCGGGGCCGCTGTCATACCGTGTGATAGAGAGCGAGGAGGCGGGGGTGGTGGTGGTGGGGTGGGGTCGGGGTTGCCCTGCCCTGCCCTGGCCGGACTAGCTCTCCCTCCTCCAGCATGAACCTCCACTCGGGCAGGGCGTCCGTGGCTATGCTGCGGATGATGGGCTGTGCTAACGGGCGCTCTGCTCGGAATCTCCTCCACAGTGACTGCGTGGTGGACGAGAAGTCGGTGGTGCTCCAGAAGAAGGAGAATGAGGGATTTGGCTTCGTGCTGCGAGGGGCAAAAGGTAGGAAAAAACATTTGGACTTTTTATGTTTTTTGCATGTCTGTTTCTGTCAATCTGCCCCCCCCCAAAAAAAAATCATCACATTTTGCAGTTGTATTCGCTGCAACATCTGCATTCATACCTTTTGCATTTAAACATGTTTTTGGTGCATTTTTTTCGTGCATTCTTGGTTATTCTTAGATCACTCTTGGAGGTTTATGTGGGAGAATGCATGGAGTAATGCTGTAGCCCTCCCCCCTCCTCCCCCCTTTAAAAAAAATAAGTTCTGCAAATAAAAACACATTTCAATGCAACTTTTAACATGACCGTCCCTAAAGCCTTTTGCTCGCCTCTTTCTGTCAATACTCCACAAAAACCAACAAATCTTGCACTCATTTTTGCTGCAAAGTCTGCATTGTCGTACTTCTTGCAAACCCGTTTTTGGTGCTTTTTTTTTCATGCATTCTTGGCTATTCTTAGATCACTCTTGGAGGTTTATGTGGGAGAATGCATGGAGTGATGCTGTAGCCCCCCCCCCCTCCAAAACAACAGCATGCAAATAAGTTCTGCTAATAAAAACACATTTGAATGCAACTTTTATTATGACCTTCCCTGAAGCCTTGTGCACACACACACACACACACACACACACACACACACACACACACACACACACACACACACACAGTAGAAGTGTCAGATGCATTATGACGGCATGTTTACGTTAACCCCCCCTCAAAACTTGCCCTCATTTTTATTTTCTTCGCGTTTCTTAAAGGTTAAATCTGCCTTTTAGGGCTGCAAAAAACATTTAATACGACTTCAAATCCCTCTTTTTTGAATCTGCTTCTGGCTTATGTGTCTGGTGTGTACCTGCGTTGTATCTGGACAACTCCCCCCCCCCCCCTGCCACATGATGAGTTGTTGTGATACACACATGCAGTTTGATGTTCCTCCAGGCCATGAAATTGGCTCTAAAAATAGCCAGTTTGAGCTGCTGTTGCTGCTGCGTCTCTTTCTATGACGATTCTCGCCATGTCATAATCCACGTTGCATTCCACAACTGTGCGATTGGACTACGCCAGCGGTTACTGTCGAGAACTACATTTAGTATTCAGTGTTTTTTTTTTTTAAGAAAGAGAGGAAGAGGGGGAGGCAGAGACGAAGAAGAGGAAATTGGTTTAAAAAAACAAAATACACGAGGAATGTTCTAGTCCTTCGACACACTCTGCTATCACCCCGGAGGAACTGACCCAGTCGAGCTTATCCTGCACAGGGTGAACACACACACACACACACACGCACACACACACACACACACACACACACACACACACAAACGCACTTGAGCTGTCACATAAGCTCACATCCTTTCCTCTGCTCTCTGGCGTTTTTCTTTTTTACTCTCCATCTCCATCCTTGTCTTTCTCCTTCTCTGTGTCACACATTCAGGCAGACACCACCCAAAGAAACGTAGTCATCATCACATTCATGTAAATCCCCAGAATCCCCCCCCTCTCCTCTCTCTGGTGCTTCCAGTACTGGGATGAGTTATAGGAAGTGTCACTTGTCACCACTGGTTTCTCCCAGCCTCAATGTTTTTGTAACCTTCCCGAGAGCAAGAGGGAGACGGAGCCAGCATACAGTGCTGACTGATGTTGAAACATTAAAAGCTAAATTCACTATTAAACATAATGTTTTGGTCTGCATGTGCGTGGAATCATCTCTTGTTTGCGTGGTGGTTTGAAGTGTTCTTAAAGGGACAGTACACTCCAAAATCAGAGCCTATTGCAACCCAGTCTCATGGCAGCTTGGGAAATGGTCATGTGATTTAATGTACTGATATCGTCTTTTTATCAGGACAAAAGTCGGGATTGAGGAGAACAAAAGTTGCATATTTTTCCCCATTTTTTGAACCGTTACTAAAAATGTAAAAAAGTCACAATTATTATTGCTTTTATTTATTTATTTCATTATTTTTGATATGCTGTTTATGTCAGTAAGAACAAAAGTCTAAGGGACTGAGGAGACCAGAAGCTGGATATTATTTTTATTTATTTATTATTTTTTAACTTAAACTGCTGCTTTACTAACGATAATAGTCAGTTTAATGATATTATGCAGGTCAGTTAATCAGGTAAAGACTCAGGACTGGGGAGACAGGAAGTTCTTTTCGTTTTTTTGTGTTAAAGCTTGACAGAAAAAGACGTGATGCAGGCACCAACAGTGAGACATTTTAGTTTGAGTTGTCGAATGTCAGAGATATCGGTCGTAGAGATGTCTGCCTTGTGTCCAATATAGACACAGCTTTCTCTATAATCTTTTCCCTCCTCTTCCTCCCTCCTGTCAGCGGACACGCCCATCGAGGAGTTCACTCCCACGCCCGCCTTCCCCGCCCTGCAGTACCTGGAGTCGGTGGACGAGGGGGGGGTGGCCTGGCAGGCGGGGCTCCGGACGGGGGACTTCCTCATCGAGGTAAGAGCTGATACATGTCTTTTCTACATCAACATGTGTCCCCTCTGTGGAAAGAGATTCTGAAAGTTTCAGGAAAAAAGATTCTCTCTCTTTTTGTCCTGATCCATTTATATAAAAACCTGTCTGAAAAGGAACTGATCAGATTCTGGCCACTTTATGATGTCATCACGATGTGTTGTCTTGTGTAACCATTAGCCAATCACCAACCAAGGTAACCCCCCCCCCCCTTATCACCTGAATCTCCTCCTAGAGCACCATTGTGTTCTTTGTAACCAAATATCTCTCAGAGGGGCGTGGGGAGGGGCTCCTTATTTTCATCTAAAGTAACAGACAGAGAATCAGCACTTTTGAAACAGGGCTGAAACAGAGGGGATTATGGGATGCTGCAATGATCTGTTTGGTGTTTGGAGGCAAACACTTCAGAGACATGTTCTGTATATATCTGAGACCTATACTATATTGATGAAAAACAGTATAATAGGGGACCTTTAAAATGTCCTTGCCCCTGCAGGTGCATTTACAGGCTCCAGAAGCTGGTGCAACATGTGCCAGAGAAAGATGAATCCTGAGGTGTTTTTGCACAAATGTAAACGCTTTTGGTCATTGTTGTTGGATTCTACCCTGAAGAAAATGAAACGTTGACCTAAATCAAATGTATTGTGTCTTAAGATTTCACTTAACTGTTAAAGGTTTATTTTAAGCAATAATATGAAGTTTAAATATTAGTTTCAACTTAATAGTATTTCAACTTTCAACTGACCTAATACAGTTGTGTGAGATTTGTTGACATAGTACACTTAATTAAAGTCAATATTTCCGTGTTTTCTGTGTGCCTTTGCTCTAATGGTTGTTTGGGATACTAAAGTCAGCTATAACATAAGATGTACACTAGCTGTTCAGTCTTCAACAAATATGTGTGTCACTGTTTACTCAGAGCTTGGATCTAAATGCGTGCCTCACTGAGCAGAGTGTGTTTTCAGGCGGTGTGCTGTCTGGTTTTATGGCTCACTGTTATGTGCTTGTGAGAACATCCTATTACTGAAATGAGTTTGAACAAGGCCTCCCTTTATTTTAAACTCATCAGAAATAATATCAATTATGTGATTGCAATTAAAGCAGCAGTTGAGCTTCTGATTTGGAGGATGACCTGTGGTTAGAATCATCTTTTTAGATGCTAAGTGTGCACACTGAAGACATTGCTATGGGACGAAAAAAAAAAAATCCACTTTTATTGTCGGTACTATACAGGTTCTATGTAACAAAATGGTTTCTCTGCATTTGACCCATCCTAGTGTTAGGAGCAGCGGGCTGCCATTATGTACGGTGCAGTGTCGGGAACGGTGCCTTGCTCAGGGACACCTCTGTAGCACTTGGTCTTTCCGGGACTTGACTGGTGACCTTCCAGTTGCCAAGCCAAGTCCCCTATGGACTTTGCCACCTCCACTTGCTGTTTGTTCCCTGAGTAGAATGACATATGTGCATGTTTTGGGTCTTTTATTTGTTTGAAATGTATCCGGATGTAATGTAGACTTTATATGAAGCTGTTGAAGTTGACATTATTCTTGCTCATGCTCCTGTGTGAGTCGTTACCTTTGCAGTGCAATATAATACCTACAAATTCAAGGTATTACACATGCAAAAGGATCTTGTATTTTACATTTGTTCCAGTAGGGATGGCTTTATACTGCTTTCTCATGTCGACACCATCATGATATATTTACTTGTAGTTATTCTACTTAATTTCAGTGTCAGTAGCGTCAGTATCAGTTTCCTCTACACATGATGGTAATGATTACAACCTGCAATTGATGCCATTTCCACCTAGATTTAAAGAATTAAAGACCATGTAAGAATATACATAATTTATCTTAAAAGATTCTGAATAACCAACATGTTCGCTGACACTTAGATATATAACGTTTTTTATGAAGCCTGCACTAATATAAATTATGTTTTGTAAGCTGTTGTAATATTCGAGCTCCCGGGGCTTTCTTCCACAAGCCTCCATAGTGATATAATAATAATTAGTTTTTTACGTTATTTTGTACTATTGGAGCACTTCATGCATTGTTATACAAGGATGTAAAATCGTGCAGGGTATTATGGTATATTCCAGTCGGAGCTGCAGCCTCACCGTCACATCGCTGCTGAGAAAGGAAACAGAGTCTGAGGGAAAAGCACATTTTCTATTTTGAGCGTGCACTCTTCCTCCTGTATGACTCCATAACGGCAGCTCAGCGCTGGGGATGGGTTTGTTTAGTGATTCTGCTAAATGGAGCATCAAATGAGAAGAACAAACTGAATCTGCAGCGCTGCCTCAGTGTTTCTGCAGCTTTAACATCCTATTATGTTTTATCTGAAACATCTGTTGACCCCCTTCAATCATATCATCATTCTACTTCTGTGTGAAGTCAAAAAACAGCAGATGCATGTTTGAACGATGCATCCAAGAGGTTTAAAATGTTATGCAAGGCTTTTTGCAAATATTAAAACAAGATATTATTCAAGCTAAATACAAACATAGTAAACCATACACCGATCAAATTCTTTAATTTGCAGAATATCACCACACTCACAATCACTGTGCTTTGTATTTCAACATTATTCTGCAGTTTCAATTTAAATATTTAATGAGCATTGAATGCATATCAACTAAAGCTGTGTATTTGCATGAATCTGGCATTATGATACCTGATACACTTTGGTACTTTAATCAAGACAATACTTTAAAGTGACTTTTAAAACCTAATTTGGGAAATCTGTCATACATCAACATAGTATAAAGTACACACTATATCATAGTTAAGAAAACATGTCTTTTGCGTCAATACGCAACTTGCTCTCTCTGTTTAAGTTGATAAATAAATGGCTAAAGATTTCCATCCCTCCACAAAAATCCAAGGAGATTTCTCCATTGGATTTCGGGTTCTTGCAGAAAATCATCTCTGTGTCAAACAAACGTTTATGATACTTTAATGTTTTGTTCAGCAGGATAATCTCCACATATTAACACCACTTTATGACTTTTGAAGTTAAAAGCTAACGTTGGGCTATAAAGGAACTACAGCACGGTCACATGACTTCACGTCACCACCGCTAACTAAAGGTGGCTAATGTTGGGCTATAAAGGAACTACAGCACGGTCACATGACTTCACGTCACCACCGCTAACTAAAGGTGGCTAATGTTGGGCTATAAAGGAACTACAGCACGGTCACATGACTTCACATCACCACCGCTAAGCTAAAGGTGGCTAATATTGGGCTATAAAGGAACTACAGCACGGTCACATGACTTCACATCACCACCGCTAAGCTAAAGGTGGCTAATATTGGGCTATAAAGGAACTAAAGCACGGTCACATGACTTCACCTCACCACCGCTAAGCTAAAGGCGGCTAATGTTGGGCTATAAAGGAACTACAGCACGGTCACATGACTTCACGTCACCACCGCTAAGCTAAAGGCGGCTAATGTTGGGCGTGATGACGTTTAGTCGTCTCATTTAGACACTTGTTAGCAACCGCTGTTTTTAAATTGGGTCGGTGCGTGTGTGTCGGTGCAGTTTCTGTTTATTCTGTGTTGTGGTCGTCATGATGTAGTGGTGATGCGGTTGCCATGGCAGCCGATTGGCTTTAGTGTATAATCCCGTTAGAGATGACCTGCAGTGCTGAGCTGCTAAACAGATTAGCATGAAGAGATGTCTCTGTCATATCCCTCTGACGGATGAACTCTCGCCCTCTCTGTGTCCAGCACACACACCAAACAGGGACTTTAAACATTACATTAAGGACTGTCAGATTCTGGGATGCTTTTGATGTTTTGTTGCTAGTTATTCCCCATTTTATGAAAGATAAACAGTAAATAAGCGACCGGTTTCACCTTGATTCAGCATTTTATTATAATATTTTTGAATGAGCACAAATGTAATCCTTCAAATGTATGAAACAACCTTGAGTATGACCTTCTTTCAGAATAATTTTAAGAATGACTATTTCCAAAGCCTTTTTTAGCTTTGATAAAACAACTACTCAATGAGAACAAGTGTTTCTTTACTTGGCAAAATGACAATTTTACCTATTCTTTCTTCCTTTATTCCCAGAGCGTGTAAAAGTAGTGGGACGGTGCAGATAAATAAATAAAAGTAAAATAAGTATGCTAACTTTTTAAATAGAAGAGGCGAACACACATATATTAACATCAAATAACTACTGTACTGTGAAAATAAGCAGCAACATAATATGGTATGTGTGTATAATGCAAAAGTAAGAAACTAACAGCCATTAATACCAAAAATAAAGAGTCTGTATTGTGCAACAAGCCCCTCTTGAAAGCAAATTCCTTGTCTCTTTTAAAGCACATTTTATTAAGCGGTTTGTCATCAAAGAAGGTGGAATGACGGGAGCAAACATTAAGAGGCAAACAGAACTGGAAGAGCAGTGATTATCCATCATAAAATATGTGATTTAGTTATCGCTAGCAAGTGGATTGTTGAGTACTACCAGTGATATATCTTTTTATCTTACTGCAATGTATTTCAGAGCACCTGGCCTTATTTGTAAGTCCACAGAGAGGCGTGTGTGTGTGTCTGTGTGTGTGTGTGTGTTTAAACATCTGGTTTTGTGTCCGCCAGACTGCACACATGGCCTGTTTTTCCTTCTGATGTACATTAGCAGAACATTTTCCATTTGCATGCATGATTTAGGGCTCGGCTGAGCATCAATCTTTCATCGCTCTCTTACAGCTTGGCATGAGCACGAGCCATTCATTCAGTGCCCTCGTACACAGCCACTCAAATCATTTGCCTAAATGTGTTTAAGTGGGTGCTTGTGGGGGTCCCCATCAATAACCGCTGTGCAGTCTTCATATCGATGCAGCTCGTTGACTTCGAGGGAAGCCGTCTGCTGCGGCGTGTCACACTTTCTATTTATATCTGGTTCACCTTTAGCTGCACTTGAAAGGTAAAAATCATGAAGGTCAGATGTGATTCTGACGATGCAG